GAGAGAGAGAGAGAGAGAGAGAGAGAGAGAGAGAGAGAGAGAGAGAGAGAGAGAGAGAGAGAGAGAGAGAGAGAGAGAGAGAGAGGGAGAGGGTATTATGATGGAGGGTGGTCCTGTCGTTTCTATACAACACTCTGCTGCAACCTTCTCCTCTGCACGGCGACAGACACTGTTATACTGCTGCAATCATGATTTCTGCCATGGATGTTAAAGCCCGTGGTTCTGGTTCTGTTTCATGTGCTGCAGAAGGCTCCACGAGAAAGTAGATTGTTGTTGATGAAGCCAAGTCTTGATACGAGCATCTATAACATGATGATTCCCTCGGCACATACAGTGTTCGCAAGAAGTCTTCCTTTCACAAGTCAAGACAAAGTACTTGCAGCAGCATTATCTGGAAAAGCAACAGAATGCCAGCTAGAGGCTGCAGCTCCGTCCTGTAAGTTCAATTCCTTGCTTGTCATAACTTTTGTCTCTCAGCTAGAACTTTCAGATGGGCGTAAGCAGCCTTGGCTCGATTCGTAGGGTTTCAAGAGGTTGTGAGTTCAATCCCCGTTGGTCTCGCATAAGTGCAGTGCCACACTTGGCGCCTACCACCTAGAGACAGCCAAATGCCCTGCCCAAGGCCGGCATTCACAGGGTCATAAACCACCACTCCCTTTCCAGCTATTCTGTTCTGATGCCACGTGAGCAGGGGCTCGGCCTGCTGGGAGGAGGAAAAGGCTGGTGCCACTAGGCGAATTTTTTTTTTTTTTACGCCTGCGCTGGTTTGTTTTTTTGGTGCGAACGTTGCGAAGCAGAAATTCAGCTCCGGAAAAGGGACTCACAGGGACTGGTGGCTTAAGTGAACACTTGGCTGAGACAATACTGATGTATGCAGTGGGAGCAGGGGGAAGAGAGGAGGCATAGAGCCTTGCAAATTATGCTACTTGCAGCCCCTCCCAGCTATTGCCATTGGCCCAGTCCTGTGGGGTTGGGTGTAGCTTGACTCTCTCATCATGCAGGACTGGGCCAATGGCAGGCGAGGATATGGCTGGCTGGGTTCCCTGAAGGCTGCAAAGGCCAGGTCATGTCACATTCAACATGATGCAATGAGCCCAGGCTTCGAACGACAACTCACCACATGTCAAAGGCACACTCCAGCACCAAAAGATGAAAGTCCAAACACGGGATATGAGAACTTCAGAAATTGTTCAGAAATCAAAGTCTTATACAGCAATTCCTATGTAGACAGCTGGGCGCTGTGGCCGCAGGTCAACCACAACAAAGTGTGATCCCTCCCTCCCTCCCTCTCTCCCTCCCTCCCTCCCTCTCTCTCTCTCTCTCTCTCTCTCTCTCTCTCTCTCTCTCTCTCTCTCTCTCTC